ACATGCAAGACACTACTGTTGGAGTAACCTTTAGAAGCTGTAGATTTGTTTTCCCTGCGATTTTCCTCATCAGAATTGCTGCTACTGCCATCAGAACTGCTAGGAATAGCAGGATTTGTCTCATGACTCTCTTCGACTGAGCTTTTGTTCTCATAAGGCATGCACGAACTTGTTTCGGAAGCGTTTGTTGTCTTCTTACCAGGTAAGACAGCCTGACTCAGTGTGGTACACAAGGAAGCAAGTACACCATCTTTTGGCTTGTGCTTCCTAACCAGTCGTTGCTTCTTAACTATCTCAGGTTCCTCTTGAGGAGCCAACTTCCGCTTATGCCAGAGGACTTCCATTATTTCAATGTCTTTGTCTGAAGTGTCGGGTTGTTTTCTCTGGGGTGGTCTGTAGTCTTCATCGTCTTCATCGTCCTCGTAATCAACTAGACCACCTGACCTAAGACTGAAAAGATAGAACTGCTGTAAGTGTAGAGAATAGAACTTAAAGTGCTTAAAAAGCTATTTCTTTGGGCTTCTTCCAAAAGTGCTTGAGGTAGTATCACATAAAAGTCTTCTTTTTTTTGTTCTTTTTTCAAAATGAGATAGAATGGCAATACCTTACTGGTGGGCAATTTGTAGCAACACCATTGGATAAACCAGGTTGAGATTGTTCGTTCTGTTTTCGAGAAACAGATGCAGATGCAGTATCCTCTTCATCACTGAAACGAGATACATTAATAACAACAACAAGATCCTGATAGAAATGTTATAAATGTCTGAGATAAAGAAAATTGTGTACCTGTCCCCATTGAAATAGTCGTCCTCTTCTTTCTCAGGAGCACGCTCGTCATTTCTTTTTCGAGGATCTGATGTGTTCAAAATGCCTTTCATTTCACAATTTTCAAGGCACTGCAAGCAAAGATATCAGGCGGGGAAAAAAAGAATTTGAAATAAATTGAAGATGGAGCCACTCAAGCAGGATAGTAATTTACCTGATCATATTTAACTTTTAAAGCTTGAATGGAAGACAAATTTTCAAATCGGGACAACTGATTCCAGAAGGAATCAATTATATGTATAACCAATAACTTCAAATTTTCCTGCATGATATACTGGCTTAAATATTTGGCCCTTAAAAAGACAACTGAATTCCAGAAAAAGAGAGATGAAGGAGGGCGGGCATGTACCTTCTTTATATACTCGAGAAGTTCTAAAACAGCAGAATTTAGCAGATTATACCGACTTCCATTAGCAACAAATACATCTATGATAGGTTTGAGAGTGTTATTCTTGACGAAATAATTTATCAGATGTTCATCCTGTAAATTAACCAAGTAAAAGATTTAGATAGATTGTCCATGGTAAATAGTAATGAACTGCCCACTGGAAGAGAGGTGGGGGAAAAAGAGGACAATACCAAAAGAACTATACTATAAGTTTATGAAACAACTACAAGAATTACTAGAAAAAACAACAAGCGAAGTGTTTATAAGCTTACTATAAGTTTATGAAACAACTACAAGAATTACTAGAAAAAACAACAAGCGAAGTGTTTATAAGCTTTATTTTCAAAAATAAAAAACAAAAAACAAAAATAGTTACGAACACAGGGCATTAGCAACTCTATTGGTTTCATAATTACACATCTACACTTACATGGCGTGAAAGAACAGTACGAATAAATCGAACTGCAGCAACAACCAAGTACTTTTCCTTCCGTTGTGTTAACAACACCACTTTATCTATCATATTATTTTGGAGAAAATTAGACCTGCAATACACAGAATAAGAAAATAAGCCATATTGTCTTAAAAATACATATAAATAGATGGTAGAGGAAATTCAATTCCGGTACTTGCACATGAATAGGGCATAAAAATTACTTTATTCTATAAGGGTGTTGGGAAATTCAATTCCGGTACTTGCACATGAATAGGGCATAAAAATTACTTTATTCTATAAGGGTGTTGAAGCACACAAAAGCAAAGTAATTCGCATATATTCGACAGAATCTCAGGCTTCATGCCATTCGTATCTCCCAGTCTTCCATCGGCGTCTTCAATGTTCTTGCCTGATTGCAAACCTTCTGTAGGACATGATGCTGTTATGATGTCTATTAATTGGCCCAAATGCTTCTCATAGAAAATCTCAACAATTGTATCTCTCTGCAAATAAGAACAGTAGCATATTTCATGACAAATGAGAGAGAATACGATTGAAGCAATTGCAAAAGAAAAAAGAAAAAGAGAGAGGAAACAAGAAAATAATAATCGCTTCTTACATGAAAGTTTTACTGACAAGTTTTTCCAAGATTTCAGCAGAAATATAAGAAAATAGAAATCAGCAATCAAAATGTTACACCTGCGTAAATAAACTCAAATGTGTTGCGACTCAAAATGCAGGCATAATATATCTGTTATGATTAAAAGAAAAAAAAAATGAAGTTTAAAAGGCAAGATATCATAAAGCAGCAACAAACATTTGTATCGAGATGCCCTGATACTTCCTTGCAGTATTGAAAACTGAAAAGAACAATGACGGGACTTTCTAAACATAAGTCAACTATACTAGTGTTAAAATAAAATTGCATAGATTTTACTGCGAGAAAAAGTTAAAAAAGGCACCTGGACTCCAGATGCATAGGTATCCAATAGATTGCGAAGAATTTCAAGAAACTGGCAGTGCATGTTGTCCCCAAAATCTGTTACCATACCTTTAATCTGCAATTAAACAAGTTGTAATAGCAGAGTGCATGTTGTCCCCAAAATCTGTTACCATACCTTTAATCTGCAATTAAACAAGTTGTAATAGCAGAGACAAGCTTAATTAATTGAAACTGGCAGTGCATGTTGTCCCCAAAGCATATCTGTGGCACGTCTAATATGTGTCTAAAACTAAAAGAGAAGAAATAAATAACGAATATGTAATTTGGCATGTCGTACATGTGTCCAGAGCGTGTCAGGTCATATCCGTAAATAAATAACGAATATGTAATTTGGCATGTCGTACATGTGTCCAGAGCGTGTCAGGTCATATCCGTGTCTAACAAATGTCCAATATGGATACTTGGCCTAAAATAGAGTGTTCGTGCTTCATGGAAAAAATTATTTGATCTATAGAAAAGCAATATCACCATTCATGCTTAATCACACAACCTGTATACACTTAAACTAAAAGATTATATTGACTAAATCAAGATTTCCAATGAAGCAGAAAACTCCAATCCTTGATAAACAGATGATTAAAGAACTTCAAGAGCAGCAAAGACACAATGAAGCAGAAAACTCCAATCCTTGATAAACAGATGATTAAAGAACTTCAAGAGCAGCAAAGACACAAACTTGATTCAGAATCTTCACCAAGTTAAAGGAAAATTCTTTCCATAAGAAAAATAAAAACTCTTGATACCCTGTTTTTTTTATCCAGAGTTAAACGAGGAGTGGAACTCTTGATAAAGAATATCTTTGACAACTAATGTTTCCCACTACTTTGACAACTAATGTCAGCAACTAAATTTCCAATCAAGATTGCTCTCATATTTTGAGTTCTCTTAAATTGTCTACACACACTAAAGTGAGAAGAAAAAAATTGATTGTGCATACCAGAAGTCCAAACAGTGGAAATCCTTCCTGTCGAGCAACATGAGTACGCAAAAGATTTGGATCCTGATTCAAGAAAAGAATGAGGATATCTGTCCTGCATTCATAAATGAGTACGCAAAAGATTTGGATCCTGATTCAAGAAAAGAATGAGGATATCTGTCCTGCATTCATAAACCAATATTTTTAACGGGGGAACAAGAAAAATAATGGTGGACTAAGAACTAAATGCAGACAATAGGAAGGTCAAATTATGTCATTCCAGTACTCACCCTGTTAAGACAAGCTTTTTGTCTGGACTCTGTAAGACATCCGTAATGATGTCAAAGATACCTTCATTCATAAGGTCCCTGTAGAAATTGGAGTTTAAGATAAAATAGTCAATAAACTTATGATATTGGAGTTTAAAAATTAATCATGATTGGAACGGTGTCAAATGGATGGAGTACAATAAACTTATGATATTGGAGTTTAAAAATTAATCATGATTGGAACGGTGTCAAATGGATGGAGTATGCCTGTGGCAGGCCTCATTTGGGCCAAAACATGTTTAGTCCATCTATACATCTCTACTTAAGTTCAATGAAACCAGTAGGTAACATATACTTTCACATTAAAATTCAATTATTTACCTGAACAACCGAAGCTGCATTGCCATTTGGAGGCTTTTGCTTACGCTACAAAACTCGCGCAGAAAATAAACCTGAAGCAGTAATGAAACATCAAAACTTTTCTTAAAGGAGATAAAAACCAAGTTCATGAATTAGGGAACTATGAGGAAGGAGAGGGAATCCATTGTGGAGAAGATTTCACAGTATGCAGTATCAAGAATGAATAACATATTACAAATCCAGGCCAGAGAACCCATCGAAACATTAATGCAGAATGGGATATATGATCATACTGCTACAAAAAAGTGCATATATACTTAATGTAACCAATACTCACCAAGTCCTTTTTTGAGTCGTCAGGGCTACAAAAAAGTGCATATATACTTAATGTAACCAATACTCACCAAGTCCTTTTTTGAGTCGTCAGGTGTGGAGGGTGATCTCAACCTAACAAACAATTCCTGAATAAAGGTACTGTCGTCCTTCAAAGAAGAAACAACCTGCAACAGAAGACCACCTTCAGAGAACGACAGTATAAAGGTCAATTAAGCTTGGTCAACATTCTAAATCTTACAAGCACATTGTTGGCATGAATTATGGAATTCAGATTAGCAACCATGGAGTCATCCAACATTCGTGCCAAAACAACATCCTGAAATAGATGGGTAAGCATTCAATGACAAAAGAGGCAGGCAAAGATAAAGTTCAAAAACAACATCCTGAAATAGATGGGTAAGCATTCAATGACAAAAGAGGCAGGCAAAGATAAAGTTCAGACGTCAATGACTGTACCTTTAAATAACCAACTCTATATGTCTGATGTATTTTTGACAGAACTGCGGGGCTCTTAATGGGAATAGCCTACAAGATTTGATTGCAAATAGATGAAGGTGTTTGAGAGAACTGCGGGGCTCTTAATGGGAATAGCCTACAAGATTTGATTGCAAATAGATGAAGGTGTTTGAGAACTAAGTTCCAAATTGTGTCATGCACCCCTCCAGATGTTCCTCACTAAACGAAAATAACACGTAGGTAATATTTACCTCCTTAAATACAACATGCTCTTTCAAGAAATTACGAAATTGCTGAGTATGTGGAACCTCGGGATCGTCTGCATCATACATTATAAAAAATTGATCAAATATTAGTAAATATCAAATAAACTATAATTTTTTTTTTTTTTAGAGGAACAGTTACTTCATTGTTAGATAACATGAAAAGTCCACCAATGTTGGCTTACAAAATTGTACTGAAGAACAGTTACTTCATTGTTAGATAACATGAAAAGTCCACCAATGTTGGCTTACAAAATTGTACTGAAGGAATGTCTTAACATTATCTTGACTAAATTTTATGTTAGAATGAGACCAACGGGCTGAACAAATGTAACGATCATTTATTTCTCACTCAAAAATTTTTTATGTTAGAATGAGACCAACGGGCTGAACAAATGTAACGATCATTTATTTCTCACTCAAAAATTGCATGGACTCCACTGTTAGACATAACAACAGAGTCGCAGATCTACCAAGAGCAAGATAACCAAAACAGCACAGGACAGTCTGCAAATAGCTATTCATAGCAATTACAGCAATATTTTTCAGGCAAGGAAAAACAGCACAGGACAGTCTGCAAATAGCTATTCATAGCAATTACAGCAATATTTTTCAGGCAAGGAGTCCCAAAGTAGAGAACCAAATGTTCCAAGGTGTATATGAATAGCAGTAGACCAATAACTAAATCCATATCAANTTATGTTAGAATGAGACCAACGGGCTGAACAAATGTAACGATCATTTATTTCTCACTCAAAAATTGCATGGACTCCACTGTTAGACATAACAACAGAGTCGCAGATCTACCAAGAGCAAGATAACCAAAACAGCACAGGACAGTCTGCAAATAGCTATTCATAGCAATTACAGCAATATTTTTCAGGCAAGGAGTCCCAAAGTAGAGAACCAAATGTTCCAAGGTGTATATGAATAGCAGTAGACCAATAACTAAATCCATATCAACTACCACAATAACGATGGCTAAAATACGAAATGGTCTCTAATGTCTTCAGTGATCTCCACATTAGGATACGAGAAAATAATGAAAACCACTTGATACTCCAATTTCAGAAAGAGTTGTTGGACGAGTTTTAGGATACGAGAAAATAATGAAAACCACTTGATACTCCAATTTCAGAAAGAGTTGTTGGACGAGTTTGTTGCAATTATGGTCTTTAACCCCTGGAATTACTACTAATTTTTCCTTCGTATCCTCTTCTCTAATTGGGTCCTTGTTGGTCTTTAACCCCTGGAATTACTACTAATTTTTCCTTCGTATCCTCTTCTCTAATTGGGTCCTTGTTTCTAAGTTTGAGAATATGAGGTTACAATATTTTTTGCTTCAAAATCTCCTTACCTCATTGGCGGGCTGAGAAAGTGAAAGGAAGGTTTCATTTTAAGAAAAAATGAGGATACTCCTGTAGAAATCTAGTGTCAAGAGAAAGTGAAAGGAAGGTTTCATTTTAAGAAAAAATGAGGATACTCCTGTAGAAATCTAGTGTCAAGATGACGGTAATTTTAGTGAATCTTAGAGGAAGAAAGAGTTGGGTTTAAAGGGAGGTATAAGCTTCTTTTGAGTGAGTGAAAGATATTGGGATAGAAGTCTCCGGTTATGAGTTAAAGAAGGGAACCGCAAAAATTCTATTTGTGAATGAAAACTCACTTTTGAGTGGCAAATGAAGAGAAAATGTGACATCCGAGTAAATGAGGGAAACATGAATGAACCAAGACCACATCCAAATGTGAGGGATGCTGAGGATAGGATAGCTAAGGAAGGCTTAAAAGAATTGAACGTCACTACCTATATCAACAAAGTGCACCTTCCTTTTCGGTGGCTCAATCATACAAACTCTATGGTTGAGCATGCTTTACTTGAAGCAATTCTATGTTTGGTGACCTCCCGAGAATTTTTCTGGGATGCATGTGAGTAAGAAAAAAGCATACTAGAAGGACTTGTGTTCGTATGTGGAAATAGTTTTCACTCTTAAAAGGCAAGGAACATAGGTAACGTGACCATATCACAGGGGATGCAAAAAAATGTTGGACCCATCAGGTACCAAATCCGGATTCCAAATCTTGATATGAATCATGGACATGGGTCATTACAAATGATAGAGCAATACTTGTCTTAGTAAGATGTAGTTCAGGGACGAACAAATGTAGAAGTCAGTGGGCATGTGACACCCAAGTAAAGGAGCGGTAAATGAATGAACTAAAACCACATTTGAATGAGAGGGATCCTGAGGATGAGATAGTTAAGAAAAGCTTAAAAGAATTGAAGTCACTACCTATACCAACAAGGTGCATCTTCCCTTTCAATGGCTTAATCAAATTTCATGGTTAAGCGTGCTTTACTTAAACAATTCTATGTTGGGTGACCTCCTAAGAATTTTCCTAAGATACATGTAAGTGAGAACAAAGCATGCTGGAAGGACTCATTTTGGTCTGTAGGAATAGTTTTCACTCTTAATTCACTCTTAAAAAGCAAGGAATGTAGGTAATGCAACCATGTCACAAGGGAGGCAAGGGCATGACGGGGCCATTAGGTGCCAAATCTGAATTCCGAATCTTGATCTGAATCCTAAGCATGGGTTATACAAATGGTATCGGAGTGGTGCCTCTCTCAGTAAGATGTGGTTTGAGGACGAACCAACACAGAAGCTGATGGACATGTAACACCCAAGTAAAGGAAGGGTACATGAATAAATCGAAACCACATTATAGTGAGTGGGATCCTCATGATAGGATAACTAAGAAAAGCTTAAGAGAAATTGCATGGTACACAAGGTCTGCCTAAAACTGAACGTGATAAAATAGAGCAACAATGAATATAAAAAGTAGAAAGAACACATACAAAACAAATTAATAGGAATGTTCTAAAAAATCAGAGCACAGCCAAAAGTTCTTATTCTCCGAGTATTTGATGACAGACCAAAAAAAATCATTTCGAAGATATATATAACTTGAAAGACAGTGCCCCATTCCAAACAAGACTGAGCAAGTGAAGCAAAATCCACCACAAGCTTAATCGCCCAAAAACACCAATAAAATATTTGACATTGGAAAGAAAAAAATAAAATAAAACAAAAGGTTTTGCATAGAAAAACCTCAAGAAACTAAGTTTCATTAGAAACTCAGCCAATCCTATGTAAACAAAATCAAGGGGACATATGAAAAATTATAAACATGAAGATATTAAGATACAACCAGAAAATATCATAATAAATCATTTACAACAAAAAGGGGCAGAATGGTCTGAAGATCAGGAAGCATACAAAACTACTGAACAAGGGTGGTTAATTAAATGACAACCATGACATATCCAAATACATTATAGACCACAACAGACCAACTTGAACTATGCAAATTCATTCAAGATTGTTTTAAAACACAGAACTTACACTCAAGAGAACCGATAATATCCATAATAAGATCGTCGTGGAATATTTTCTCGAAGATTTGCGGACTGTTGAGTAAAACTAAAAAGTAGGAAGAAAACAAAATAAATTTTATCAGTACCAGCACCACATGAGTTCATGGTAACAAAGAGAAGGAAAAAGTACTGACCAATTCCTCTAACTATTTTAAATATCATGTGAAGACCATCGGAATTTTCCAAATCTTCACAGATTCGGAAAAGGTTCATCAGCTTTCTGAAAAAATCTCGCTGCATTATGACAATAAGTTTTTAGATAGACAAATTTCACAATACTAATCAGAAACTAATCTAGTAACTTGAAACCCAAAAGAAAAGAAAATTCATCGACCCAACAAAAAGAAAGAACGGTGTAGGGCTAAGGAGGATAAGAAATTCTATTTTCACAAATCTCATATTAATTCCTTCTGCTAAATAAGGGTGGCCTCACGGGAAAAATTTTATAGTGAGTATGGTCAAAGGGAATTTCAAGAACTGTTACTGGTTATCAGTCGCAAGCCTATCAAAATAATTAGGCATCCAAACATGAACTCATTAACATAGGTTATGAAAAATCACAAAGACTTAATCCCAACAACAGATGCAGCTATGTGATTTTGATTTACAATACACTTCACTAAGAATTTTATTTTTAAAAAAATAGGCTTTCCAATCAGAAGCAATTAAAGAAGGGAGTAAAAACCAAACATTTTGGAGTACAATTCCAGAGATAAGTAAACCAAAACTACAGACTTCCACTCAATCCTATTAAGAAATTATAGAGAAACTTATCAAAAAGATCTTTCAGAATCTACCAAACACCACACCTAGACCAGGCAGCTTTCTTACCGCCAACATGCTGCTCTTCAAAATGACATGAACTAACAGCCAAAAGTACCAAATCCACAAAGTTCAAGCTCTTACATCATTCAATAAGAGTTCTGTCAACCTCATTTGATCTGCAATTCCACTCTCAACCACAGTCTACAAAACAAGTATTGATATGTTAAACTAAAGGATTGTACACATTAGTTATTGAACTGTAATATGACAATACATCTAAATGGTTGTTTTTATTTACAATATTTAGAATCCCCAAGGAAAGGTTTTGTTTCTAGTTCAAAACATATATAACCCTCAACCACAATGCATGCACTGCAATAAAGAAGAGATATGGGAAAGAAAGAAAGGCAATCGACACATATGCCAACACCTTAAGTATTAGCGGAAGTGTAGATAGCTCGACAGTAGGAAGCTCCCTTAGCTCACTAGTCACACTATGAAATGTCTCATCTGCAAATACCAACAAAGAAGTCAGATCATCATTCCTCATGCTCATATAGAAGAAGAAATATATTTTGTACATTATTTCCCAACAAACAATACAACATTAAGCACATTTGCAAAAATACAAAAGAAGAAGAAAACTAGGAATAAAAAAATATTCAAGTTTTAACCAATGGTACATGCAGACAGATATCGTTAATAGCTTTTTTGGTAGCTCAGTTAAGAGAATTCGACACAGAAGCCATTCTTCTTCCTCAATTGTTTTTTAACCAAATGACAAGTCTTCAACTCTTTGTTCTTTGAGAAACTTGTAGAAGAAAGGTTCTCCGAACAAAGTTTTGAGGGAGGATAAGAGCTAGAGAAGGGAGTTCCATATGACTGAACTTTAAAGGAAGAAAATCAACTAGTCTCATTTATCTTAACCTGACTCCACTATAGTCCATCAAAAACAATGGAAAATGTCTTGTGATCGATGGAGATTGTTCTTTTGAAGTAATTCCAAGATGCTGCAACGGTGAGTTATGTGAGCAAGGTTTTGGAGCCATTATGAGTGGGGTTGACAGGTGAGGGTTGGAAGGTAGAGAAGGGTAGAGAGCATCATGACAGACATCATAGAGACAGAAGTAGAAGAACCCGAAAAATAACATCCAAGTTCAGAAAACTTAGAGACCATTATGTAGATTGTGGTGATTCTAACTGTTTGAATCTTACTGGAGCTTTAAAGATCTCAGGGCCTTGAAGATATAAAATTCTAATACAAAGAGAATGACATAAATGTGACTTAAAAGATCTTAACATATCCATCAAGTAAAATGGTAGGGATTTTACAATGTGCAGATGAACTAATGAGTAGTTTCAAGAACTAAAGGCTACATATGAAGATCATACACACTTACTGCTAAGAGTACTAAACTGGAGATTCCTTTGAACGCTACTGATATTATCCCTGAATAAGGAGCATATTAGAATCAAACTTCAAGCAAAAAAAATATATATAAAGAAAGTAAAATGGGAAGGCTAGTTATCACCAAATGAAAGAGCATCCTGTAGCCTCTTGAAAACTAAGTGCTAGCTCTGTTGAATATTCTGGATCTCTCCACGAAATAATAGTATCTGCAGTTCAAACATTTATTCAAATTTTGTATTCTACATTCAACTCTATAGCCCCTTGGACTCTTGATGTTGGTCTGCTTCTTATTTTTCTTTTCTTTATGAAGAAGAAACATAATATTCCTAACAGGGGAAGGGACAATAGCCCACAACCTCCAAACCATGACCAAAATTATTTAAATATTGGTTTACATTGTGCCTAACAAGCTTGACTCAAGGAAAAATTTAAAAATACCTTCTTGCTTCCGATAGATATCATCTGAGCTGATACGATGTAGAAGTAAAGTCTCGTTGTCTTCTTCATCAATGACAAACAACCCCAACTCCTCTGATCTCTATCATAATAACATATAAGTAACAAACTAAATAAGCCAAATGAAAGATTCTTTGATGACTACAAATTTTATGAGAAAATGTAGTGCAGTTGTATAATCCCTTCATTGTTTCAGAAACATCAATCAGATCAAGAAGTCAGACAAACCTCCATATAGTCCACAGTGACATGGCCTGTTCCTTGGTCATCCCACTTGCCATCATCATTCAACCGGTAAACCTTAACACGCTGAAAAAATGTTTTCAAAATTTTTAATTAATTATTATTTAATTGTTTATCAGGTGCCCGACAGTCAGACATCTTAGACAATAAGACCTCAACAATACTGAAAGGAACAAAAAAAACAACAATGCATGTACACCATTCGAATATATGCGCCAAAAGGCCATATCGCATTTCAAATTGAAATATACATCCATAATTTTTTTTATAAGAAGCAGAGAGGATTGTATAAGGGCCATAAAAGCATACAACCTAAGGGTGAGGTAGAAAAAACGAATTTCTAGTATTCAAGGAGAGGCTGTAAATACAAAAGAAGTCTATGGGCTGAACCCCACCAAGAAGCCAAATGCTGTATACTATGGACAATGAATCTTCTTGAACTCAAATTATACTCAGACTTGTGTGAACTCAATGATCATTGATTTTCCCAATCATCTTCAAACCAAACAACAAAAAATCCATTACGGCTCGACTTGCTCCTTTCCCAAGTTAAAACCCTAGGCTCTCATTCTTCACCTCATAATGAAAAGAAAAATTAAAAACTTATGTGCAATATGACACTCATATCATGGGGGAATGGGCTCCTGATACTGGATTATCAAATATGACACCCAGTATTTTATAAAAAAATTAAAAAATTAAAAAAAAGAAAGGAACAACAAGGCAATGATAGGTAAAGTTGTATCAGGCCACTATAGCTAAACAATGCAAATCTAAAGAAGAACAACAAAACTTAAGCCAAGAAAGACAAAAAATGAGTGAAGAGATGAGTTGAGCTACAAAGGGCAATGCAAGAGGAAGAGTAAAGGTAGAGTGTCATTTGTCTCGACATATTGACAAGGTTAAAATTGAAAATGTTGGCATCACAATAACCCAATTGCCATCTACATTTGTCGCATTATTGCCAAAGGAGTATCTCTAAAGAGAAATTTCAGGAAACAATGTTCGTTGCTTAAACGAATATCCTTTTTGATGCCTCCAACGGAAAAATGCTCCGAGAAAAAGAAAACAAAACGTAACTAAGCATTCATCAACTATAACACTCTCCCATCTTCACTACCACAAATAGCATACAAAATTCAACCAACGACAATTAATTACGTTACTCAAAACCCTGATTAAGCAAAATACAAACTTTGGAAAGTGCCAACATATCTCCCCACACAAAAACAATCCAAACCGCATGCAAAAANAAAAAAAAAAAAAAAAAAAAAAAAAAAAAAAAAAAAAAAAAAAAAAAAAAAAAAAAAAACTTAACTTAATAATTATTTTTAAATTATTTATTTTTCAACAACTCAATAACTTTTTAAATATTTAAAATGTAATTTTAGTATATAAACCATAAAAAATTCAATAATTCCGAGGAACCCAACTAAAATATTTGTATATTTTTATAGTGGGATTGGATCAAATTAGATTAATTATTTATTTGGATTTAAAATTAAATTGAGTTTAAATAATATTTCGATCCATACCAAATCAACTTATTAACCAGTTAATTCATTACCATATATATTAAATCGATTCATATTTTCAAAATTTAAGAAAATTAATTTATATCGAAATTCTCCTTTAAAATTTGTTTTCCTTTTCCATAACAATTTGTCATTTCCCAAATAACAAGAAATATATACTAGTTATTTTGATTTTTTTTAAATATTTTCAATTAAAATTTAATTAATTGCGATATTAACAACAATTTAATAATTTTAAACTCTATTGTTATAATTGAACTAAAAAAACTTTATTACTTTCTTTTTTTTATTTTCATTTATTTAGTAATATTAGTTTATTCGAATTAGATTATTTAAGTAAACATAAAATAAAAAGTGATTTTTGATAATAAAAAAAGAAAAGAAAAGAAAAAAAAGTATATAAATAAATAAATAAATATATATATATAGAATTCAGCGCGTAGGCAATAGACAGACCGGCGAAATGGACAGAAAAGGAAAAATCCGATCAATCACAGAGTCAAATTCACGTATCTTCTCCAGCCGTCCGATGACTTCTCTCTCTACAGGCTTTTGGAGCTATAAATACCTCTCATCCACCGCTTTTCTATCCCCACGGTTCCGTCTGCCATTTATCTATAGGGAGAGAAACAGATACAGAGAGAGAGAGAGAACTCTGTTTCTGAGTTATGGCTAGAGCCAGAGATATCGACGATCTGCCGAAGAACGACGCCAACTATACCGCCTTAACGCCGTTGTGGTTTCTCGAGAGAGCCGCCTTGGTTCATCCTTCCAGATTATCGGTCGTCCATGGATCTCGCCGCTACAACTGGCTTCAGACTTACCAACGCTGTCGCCGTTTGGCTTCTGCTCTTTCGAACCGCTCCATCGGCGCCGGAGATACGGTACTTCTTATTATTTCCACTCGCTCTCTGTTTTTTTTTTTTTTTTTTTTTTTTTTTTTTTTTTATTTTAAAATCTTGTTAACTGTCTGTGAGTGTAATTCGTCTGTCTGGATTTGGCGGTGGTGGTGGTTGTTGAATCGTTGGACTCGGTGAGTGGAAAGTAATTGCTGGATGAATCGGTTTTTGTGTGGTTTCCTTTTTGGTCTTAAAACTCAACTCGATCAGGAGAATTATCGGAATAGATTCTGAAGAGTGATACGTTTATGGCATATAGTGATGAAGTATTTATTGGTCGAGTTTTAGCCTTGCCACGCTTGCGTACTGTATGATTTGGAAAACCAGAAGCTGTAAGCGTTAATCGCACTCAATAAAGCTTGGGGTTGGGATCTTCTAGTTTTTGTTGGCTCATAATATATGATCACTGAAGCTTTTTTCAGGCTATTGTTCTTCGAAATGGCAGTGTTCTTGTTGATTATTTCAGAAATTCATCTCATTAAATTCTATAGGATTACGATACCACGAAGAGTCGATTGCGTTTCACGCGTGTTCTATAGGATTCCAATTATGCCTCGCTGCTTTAAGAGCAAAGTCGATTACGTTACTTTAAAGTTCCTGAGCGGAATTCCGGGGGTTCTTTAATCTGTTTAATACGTTATCTTGGAAATTCATTATTTTAAAATCTCTTCGATATGTTGTCTTGGGAATTTGTTGATGTTATCTGAAAGAAAATTGATTGTTTTTTTAGGTGGCAATAATTGCTCCAAACATACCGGCTATCTATGAAGCTCATTTTGGAGTTCCCATGGCTGGTGCTGTTCTGAATTGTGTTAATATTCGTTTAAATGCACAAACAATTTCATTTCTTCTCGGTCACTCATCATCTGCAGTTGTTATGGTGGATCAAGAGTTTTTTCCCTTAGCAGAAGAAGCTTTGAATATCCTAGCTGAAAAAGGCCGTGGGCAGTACAAGCCACCACTTCTAATTGTAATTGGTGATGAAAGCTGTGATCCCGAGGCACTGAAATATGCTTTATCGAAAGGGGCCATTGAATACGAGAAATTCTTGGAAACAGGCAATCCTGAGTATGCTTGGAAACCACCAGAAGATGAGTGGCAGAGCATTGCTCTTGGCTATACGTCTGGCACAACTTCAAGTCCTAAAGGGGTGGTTTTGAGCCACCGAGGGGCATATGTCATGTCTTTGAGTGTAGGCTTAGCGTGGGGGATGAATGATGGAGCTATTTATCTTTGGACCCTGCCAATGTTCCATTGCAATGGTTGGTGTTACACATGGGCACTAGCTGCTTTCTGTGGGACAAGTATATGCCTCCGACAGGTATTAACAAGAAATCTTTTTGAACCATTTTACGATTATTGAATAGTTCCTTGTATGCTAAATCCTAACGACAATAGATTGAACTAAAACGGAAACATTAAGAAGGTTTTTTTCATTCGATCTTACGAAACTCCTCTTTGAGGCGGCTCATAATTTTTATGGTTCATCATAGAACAACTTTTCAAATGCTCAAAAACACTTTTATTCACAACTTTTCAGCTCTTTCCCCTTCAGAAATTCAATGACCAACACATTTTTGTGGCTTTCTAAATGCTGTCATGTTATGATTCTTCTTGATAGCTAGCAGCTTTTTCCTTTTGGTTGTTGTTACAGGTCACAGCCAAGGCAGTTTATTCAGCCATAGCCAAACATAAAGTAACACACTTTTGTGCAGCACCTGTGGTTCTTAACACTATTGTCAATGCCCCTAAAGAAGACACTATCCTTCCCCTTCCCCATGTCGTCCATGCAATGACAGCAGGCGCTGCTCCACCTCCTTCTGTATTATACGCAATGTCCCAGAAGGGCTTCCGCGTCACTCACACCTATGGCCTATCCGAAACCTATGGTCCATCCACAGTATGCGCATGGAAACCAGAGTGGGACCAATTGCCTCCCGAAGCCCAAGCGCGAATGAACGCTCGTCAAGGCGTACGATACATAGCATTGGAGGGGTTAGACGTTGTCAACACTCAAACAATGCAACCCGTCCCTTGTGATGGAAAAACTGTCGGAGAGATCGTAATGCGTGGGAACGCTGTTATGAAAGGCTACTTAAAGAACCCGAAAGCAAACGAAGAGGCCTTTGCAAATGGGTGGTTCCACTCAGGCGATCTCGGCGTGAAACACCCAGATGGTTACATAGAAGTGAAAGACAGATCAAAGGACATCATCATTTCTGGAGGCGAGAACATCAGCAGTGTGGAGATAGAGAACACTCTGTACCAGCACCCGGCGGTGCTGGAGGCGTCTGTTGTAGCTAGAGCAGACGAACGGTGGGGAGAATCTCCTTGCGCATTTGTGGCGTTGAAGGTGAAGATAGATAAGGATAAGGAGCGGGAAATGGGTGAGGATATCATGAAGTTTTGCAAGGCGAGGATGCCAGCTTACTGGGTTCCGAAATCTGTGGTGTTTGGGGAGCTGCCAAAAACAGCAACAGGGAAGATTCAAAAGAATCTGCTGAGAGCGAAGGCGAAGGAGATGGGGCCTGTTAAGATCAGCAAGTTGTAAGGAAGTGTGATCGGCTGCTGCTGCTTCTGTAGGTACTTCGAGTATGTATTCTATGAGTATGCATTGTATTTTACAGGTCAGAAACAGAGTATACAAATACTTCGTTCTTCTAATATAGATTCACTGCTACTGAGATTTGTTTGAGTCACTTCAAATTGTCTTTAGCCAATGTTGTTTTATTCATATGCTTTCAACGCTTTTTATTATTATTACTACTTTTTTTTTTTTTGTCGTTGATTGCAGCGAGAGAAAATTGGAGGGTTTAGAGAGAGAGAAAATCGGTATCTGATTTTGTTAGGCTAAATTAATAAAAATATTTTTAAATTTTATATTCCTATTAAATAATTTTTAAAAGTTTTAATGAAAATTTGTTATTATTTTATTTCAAAAATAACCTTCCACTTTACAATTTAATAATTACTAATAAAAATACTAATTATAGATATTTTTATAAATGTCGAAGGTATTAATAAAAATTTATAAAGTTCAATGATCTTTTTGAAATATAATATAACTTTCTTTATACATGTCTCGGAGTATTTTTATTTTTTATTTTTAAATTAATAGTATAAACAAAACTTTTAAACTCATAAATATTTAAAAAATAATTTTGAGAGGTATAAAAAGATATTTTTGAAACTATTTTGAAATATTATTTTTGAAACCAATTATTAACAAATATTTTTAAGTTTTAAAGGGTAATTGCATTTATTATTATTATTATTATTATTTTCGGTTCAACTTGATGTTTTATCAGCTACGGATTAGGTAAATGTTGCTTCTCGAGTAAAAACCAGCCATCCCGTTTTAGAGTTCGTTCCGTCCGATATATATATATAAAAACGAAGTGACCAGCGCGCCTCGGCTCAGTTTCGAGAAGGCCATGAAAGGGCTTCATTCTTCGGGTCTCAGGGCGACGCCTGTTCTAAGAAATCGACCTCAAGAAGCTTACTCCACGATTAACGAGTATCGGAGACAAAACCCTTCGAATACAGTCCACAGAACTTCAAAACACAGCCCCTTAAACAACACTGAAGGGCCTTCAAGAGGTAATCCTTACCCACTAATTAGTCAATTAGAGAATACCAGCTTGATTCGGCACCCCACTCGTGAACATAGTTTGAATCTTAAACCAATTGATCATTCATATATTTCTAGGATTCTATTGAGCAAGGACTGGTTCCTATTGCTAAACCACGAGTTTAAGGCGAAGAGGCTCGTTTTGGCTCCTCAATTTGTTGTTAGTATTTTGCAAAATCAAGAAAACCCATTAAATGCTATAAGATTTTATATCTGGGTTTCGAATATCGACCCTTCACTTGCAAAGAAACAATCGATTCGAGGGGTTCTTGGCCAAAACCTTTATCGAGAAGGTCCTGATCGTCCGGTGTTATTGTCAGTTGATCTGCTTCAGCAAATTAAAGAGTCTGGTCTCAAAGTGACACAGGAATTGCTTTGTATATTACTTGGAAGTTGGGGTAGATTGGGTTTGGCAAAATACTGTGTGGAAGTATTTGGGCAAATTTCGTTTTTGGGACTTAATCCCACCACCAGACTGTACAATGCTGTAATTGATGCATTGATCAAGTCCAATTCTCTAGACTTGGCTTATTTAAAATTTCAGCAAATGTCGTCTCATAACTGCGTTCCTGATAGGTTCACTTACAACATTCTCATCCATGGTGTTTGTAGGCTTGGGGTGGTGGATGAGGCACTTCGTTTGATGAAACAAATGGAGGGCTTGGGATATTTTCCGAATGTGTTCACGTATACGATCTTGATTGATGGATTTTTCAATGCCATGAGGGCTGAGGAAGCCTTTGGAGTTTTACAGACAATGAAGGAGAGGAATGTGGTTCCAAATGCAGCAACTATGAGATCCCTGGTTCATGGAGTATTTCGTTGTTGTGCCCCAGATAAAGCTTTTGAATATTTATTGGAATTTGTCCAGAAGAAGCCGAGCGTGTCTCAATTGGTTTGTGACAATATTCTTTACTGCCTTTCAAATAATTCTATGGCCAGTGAGGCGGTTATGTTCTTGAGTAAAATGGGGAAGAAAGGTTATGTTCCGGATAGTTCAACCTTTAATGTCACTATGGCATGTGTATTAAATACGCTAGACCTGAAAGAAGCTTGTGATATATTCGATAATTGTACGCAGAGAGGTGTCAAGCCAGGGTTCAGTACATATCTTGCACTTATTGAAGCTCTGTACAAGGCAGGGAAAACGGAGATTGGAAACAAATATATGGATCGACTAATAAAGGATGGTCTTGTTTCGAACAACTATTCATATAATATGGTCATTGATTGCCTTTGCAAAGGCAAATTAATGGACAGAGCAGCAGAAATCTTTAGGGATCTGCAGTCTAAAGGCATTTCTCCAAATATTGTAACTTTTAATACACTTATTAGTGGGTATTGCAGAAATGGAGGTATGGACAAAGCTCAGGAATTTCTTGAAATGCTATTAGAATGTCGTTTTAGACCAGATATCTTCACTTTTAATTCAGTAATTGATGGCCTCTGTCAAGCACACAAGTACGAAGATGCTTTTGGTTGTTTCAATGAAATGGTCGAGTGGGATGTCACTCCAAATGCTATCACGTATAATATATTGATACGCTCCTTTTGTGCGATTGGAAATGTTGCTAGATCTACTCAACTCTTGAGAAAAATGCAACTTCACGGTATACAACCCGATACTTTTTCCTTCAATGCTCTTATCCAAAGCTACCTTCGAATGAATAAAGTTCATAAAGCCGAGAAGCTTTTTGATTCAATGTTAAGGTTGGGTATACAGCCCGACAATTATACTTATGGTGCATTTATTAAGTCATTGTGCAAGTCAGGTAGGCATGATGAAGCAAGGGAGATGTTTCTCTCAATGAAGGTGAATGGTTGTACTCCTGACTCTTATACTTGTAGTCTTATTAACGACACTCTTGCCCATATTTAAACCTTTACTCAATCTTTATGTGGATGCTGAGGAAATTGTGGAGATTGAAGAAAATATGTGAACAAGAACATTTTATGAACAGCTTGAACATCGGGGATTGACCGTTTATTGGTACTGATACCTTGATGTTTTCCGATATGAATTGTTTCAAGCACTGTGAAAATAAAAAATGTCTGTTGTTGTGGAGAGAGGAGAACGGATGATTCACTTTCCATTTGATGTTAACAAGCAGTCTGATGAGTTCTTAGACGCCACGTCAAATACAGTCTTTCTGAACTAATCAAGGAACATATCCGCAGTTATTAAAAAGGTCATGGCTTTTTACTAAATCTTGATGCTTGTCAGTGAATATGCTAAAACTTAAGGTGCCATCATATTTCATTTGCAGGCACACTTAGGTGTGTAGTACGGCACAGTCACCTTGAACAGAGTAGTTGAAACTCTAAGGTCATTACTTGAGGGGATGAAACTTACCATCTGCCCCCTACATCGACCCCATGGTACAATGTAAGGTTTCAGAATTCGGCAGGATTTTCAATACTGTAGCCATGGAGTTTCTTCGAGGACGGGAAAAACACAAAGGCTTCTATGATGGATATACATCTGTGATTCATGTGACCTTGATACAACTTATCAGTTTTTTGAATAAGTGCAAATACTTTATCTGTTGCCAATGTGAAATGGCGAGCAGGTGTTATCTTCCTATGTATGTATTTGAAAAGAAGTCAACAACGTTGAAGAATTTTTACTGATTTCTCTGTAACTACTAACCTTGCCTTGATTTGAGGACTGGACACTCCAAGACAGTTGGGGACATTCTGAAACCATTTCTTGTGCTATTCCATTTCCTCCTTTTCTGTTTATCATGTCAGAATGATGAATGACATAAAAAGGACTTGACATGGCTGTTTCTATTGGCTTTTGAAGGGAGATTTGGTCTGTCAATTTCGCATCTAGCTCTTATGATGGAGATTACACCATGTTAAAGTTTTTCTATTAGCTTTCCCGCAATGAAATTGTAAGAGCCCAAGCCCACCGCTAGCAGATATTGTCCTTATTGGACTTTTCCTTTCGGGCTTCCCCCTAAGGTTTTTAAAACGTGTCTACTAGGGAGAGGTTTCTACACTCTTATAAATAGGGTTTTATTCTCTTCTCCAACCAATGTGAGATCTCATATGCAGAATAAGTAGGTTGTTGTATAGGGATTATAAATTCTTACTTTAACTAGAATTCATATAATTTTCATTTGATTGTAGCTAATGCTTTTGATAGGTTAAGTGGATAACGTTGCATGTGCAATGGGTGCCACATGTTTTGACCCCGTTGAAACTTTCTCCAAGAACTTGCTGTGTTTGGATCTTGTCTAGACGCTGTCCATGGGATAGAGGTAACATACTCTGATGACACAACACACTACTTGCTGTCTGTTTAAAAGCAGCCCACTGTACTTACGAATTAAATCAGCTCATTGTACTTTCTTCTATATGAATTAACTTCAACCCATTGAGTCCGAAAAAAAAAAAACTGAACCTGGGTACGTATATAATACGGCAAAAGACTGATATTAAACATATTTTGCTTGTGGCTGTACTAGTTGATAGGAGGGTGGTGGATTAATATTCACGTCATATAGCCATCGTATGTTCTCTAGTTGGTCTGCACTCTGCAGTAGGTTTCTCGAATCAAATGCTTAATGTTCTCTTTTATATTTGTTCATTCTTAAAATGAAAGGTGTTTCTTTAAAAAAAAAAAAAAAAAAATCTATTAGCTAAAAAGCCACTTATCATGTTCTTGGGTTGATGTGGAATGAGCTTCTTTTGCCTTTCATATATCTTGAAATGCCTCTTTTATCATGTTCTTGGGTTGATGTGGAATGAGCTTCTTTTGCCTTTCATATATCTTGAAATGCCTCTTAGATCATAATTGTAAAACTTTGTTTCGGGATAGGTTGAAAAAGTTCCAAACAAACAGTTGTCATTGACCAAAAGGTCGGAGATTCAAATATCACCCTACAACAGATTTTTATCTCAGGAAATGACCATTTTTCTTGGGAAGGGTAAAATACTTTAATCAAGTCCATGCACACAATTCTTCTGTACTTTCTATTCTGTTTCGAAATTCTGACTGATATTAAATAGAAAACCCTAGAGGGTTCACAGAGTTTTTCTTTATGGAAGGTTGTGGTAAAAGGGGTTGGTCCCATTTAGTTAGTTGGAAGTCAGTGTCAAGATCTCTTGGGGGGTGGGGGGTCAAGGTCCTCTAAGTGGTTATGGTGGTGTTTTCCCCCCTCTGAAACCACAATCATTGTGGAATTGGATCACAGATTCACAATTAGTTGATATGAGGTTAACCCCATTGGTTTAAATTTCAATGAGGGGTCTAATTGCTACAAACCTGCATAAATCGTTCGCTTAGCGTTTCCTCTGTACACTTGGTTTCTCTATAATGATGGTAGCAGAATCAGTCTTAAAGGGCTTTACTTTTCTTGTTTCATTCCTCCTGTAAGCTATAGGAAATCCAACTTTAGAAAAAGCTAGGTCTTTTAATGCCTTGTTGCCCTTTGAATGATACCTTTGATTTCACTCGGGGCCTCGGCTCTTTTACTTCACTTGCAATGGTGTGTTCTTTATAAGAAGGCGTGGGGAGATTTGAATCATTTATTATAAAGGGATGTTCCTTTTCTATTGAGGTTCGACGTTGTGACACGATAGACATAATTTGTCCATCCTCTCTTGAAAAGTGGTATCTTTGCTCTTCTTTGAAGTATTTGGTTGGAAAGAAACTAGAGGTCTTCTTCAGATGATGAGAATTCTTGCCCTGCTTTAATGAATCGATCTGGTTTCATATTTCACTACCTTTTTATAGTTGTCACGCACTTTTTCTATCAATATCTGGCCTCCTTTTTGTACCTTCTGCATTTCATTTAATTTTTGTTGCCCTAGTGTTGGCCTAACCACTCTTCTGTGAGGCTACATGTGAGATTCCACATCGATTGGGAAGGAGAATGAAACATTCTTTATATGGGTGTGGAAACCTCTTTCTAGTAGACGCGTTTTAAAAACTTTGAGAGAGAGCCCAAAAAGAACAATATCTGCTAACGGTTGGCTTGAGCTGTTACAAATGGTATCAGAGCCAAATACAGGGCAATGTGTCAGTGAGGAGACTAAGCTCCAAAGGGGTGTGGATACGAAGCGGTGTGCTAGCAAGGACGCTGGGCTCTAAAGGGGGTGAATTGGGGGATCCCACATTGATGTGAGAAGGGAATGAGTGCCAGTGAGGACACTGGATCCTGAAGAAGGTGGATTGTGAGATCTCACATCGATTGAGTAGAAGAACAAAACATTGTTTATAAGGGTGTGTAAACATCTTCCTAGTAGACAGCGTAAAAGGACAATATCTACTAAATTTTGGAAGGGTCAGACCGATGCATAGGAATCAGCTATCATCAACTTGTTGTTGCTGACAAAACAACGTTTCAGTGTATTGATGGCTAGCTACTGATATTCCTTCGCTTTTGAGGGAATACTTGTCTGTTTGCTAAATCTGGACCACTGCATTGATCCCTTTGATTCTACCATTCTGCAAGTGGGTTTATATTTAATATACTTGCTTGCCAAATTGAATTCTTTCACAGTTTAGGTTGGGGAGTCAGTGAGAAACTTTATGAGTTCTCTTTTAAAATCCATTTCTTCAGGGATAGCTATTCTCCATATTGGGGGGTGAATTTAGTTGGCGCTCGAGCGAGTTGTTGGATTATTTCACTCGATCATAATGTCTCAACGTGACAGCAAAACGCCCTGACATCACGAGTCGATCAGTTTGCATCTCAGCCAAGTTTGCTTCGACGTGATGAGCTCGACCCGAGCGGTAGGAAATTAAAAGAAGGCTGCAAAACTTTGTAAAAACTTCTATCAAACTACTACGTTTCTTATCCATGGAGATGGTTTGGCTGAATCTAACCCCCCATATGTTTTGAGTCATTTGAACAAAAATTCTCATGTTATTTGGTATTCTTTTGTAGTGTTCTATTAGATGCACGGTTTCAATTTAGTGCGTCATTTCAATCATTTTGCATACAATAAAACACAAACATGCATTTAAGAACTAAAAAGGTGGATTGGAAGGAAGCTCATTCAAGCACTTGTAAACGATGAATGATTTTTATTGATACATACCAAGTAAAAGATCGATTTTGAGTGATTATTCATATGACATTGCGAAGATAGGAACAAATATATTTGTAATAGCCATTTGAGTGAGTTTGATGATTGGCATCATGACTTCAGTTTCAAATCATCTCAATTGGAAGTATTGTGTAAGCTGATATTCTAACTATAGTTTGTGAGTGATACAAAAGTTGAGACCATTTCTTCTGAATTAGGGTCGGAGGAAGGGTTTTTCGACCCATGAAAAATGATTGTCCTAATCTCGCTCACGAGGGAAGATGATGACTTCCTCGAAACAAAAAAAGATTTACTTTACCATGATAGCAGTTTTATAGATGTGCACACATGCAACAGTAATGACAAAAGGATGTTCAACTGAGTCAAGTAGCTAAAAGTTGCATTATGAGTTTTAGTCGGGTATATCAATGTGTAACTCGAAAGTATTGGAATGTGACATTTCAAGTGGTCTATCTCAACCCACGAACATTCCTAGAATCCATATCATATTCTTTTCGTTCAATTATGAGAATGGGTATTCAAACCTTCTAAGTCAAACCTGTTGAGTTATGCTTAGATTGACATTTGATCGGAAGTATGAAGAAGGCCTCCCCACATGCCAGCTTCCAATTTTTTTTAATTCAACCATGGTAGGATTAGAGATCGACCGAGCGCTCCACCGTTGTGGCAATTAAGTCGAAGGGGGTCGTCTACAAAGTAACCACACTAACTCTCCCTCTCACAGTTGTGGCAATAAATAAGGATATCCCACCGTTCAGTTTTTTCTTCTTTTTTACTCCCACAATTTAGGAAATCCTATAACTTGGGGACCAGCTCCCCAAGTTAAGCTCCGCTCCTCTCTGTCTGTCTTGTCTCTCTACAATTATTCAAACACTGTCTTACCTAACCAAACAGTTGTTCTTGTCGCCGCCATTGTTGCTCTGATACCTGTTTTTCATCAGAGCTATGGTGAGAGCTCCTTGTTGTGAAAAAGTAGGCCTCAAAAAGGGAAGGTGGTCAGCTGAAGAAGAGGTCATTTTTCACTTCTCTTCCCCATAAATCGTTCGAGTTTTGTCAAACGATAAACAAACCCGGTTTTGAATTGGTTCCCTCGAGCGTATTTTCAGCCAAAGATTTGTGTTTGAAAAGAAATTCTAGGACGGTGAGGTTTGAATCTCAAACGTTTTGATTGAGAGACATGACCCTGCTAACCGTGATTCGTGTTTTTCTTTGTATGTTATGAAGCTTTAATCGAGCTAGTCTTTTAACTATTCAAATTCCTAACCTGTCTTGCATCCAAAAATGAAAAACGGGACAAAGACAATGTAGGAATTACTCGAAAGCCAAATCTTGAATGATTTGTTTGTTGGTTTTTTCTCGACATGTTCTTGAGACATTTATGGTGTTATTCTAAAGGATTGTTAAGGTGTGGAAAGAGTTGTAGACTGAGATGGATTAACTACTTAAGGCGAGACTTGAAGAGAGGGAACATCACTGCAGATGAAGAACAAATGATTGTAATGATGCACAACGCTTTTGGCAATAGGTAATTTTTTTAATGATTTGTGATAATAGGTATGGTTGAGCTATGCTTATATTGGCAGATTTTGTATACTTTTTAACCATTTATGTTTTGCGTGAGAAATAATCAAGAAAATGATTTAAATCCTAATTTACTATTTAAACTTCAATTTGTGTTCGAACTTCGTTCAGAAAAAAATGTTTTAATAATTATAATTTTCTTCGTTTGATTTCCATGAAGAGTTGTGTAGAAGGATTGCAGTTTCGTTCAATTTTTAAAATTGTCTCATATACTAGATTAGAATCATTCTCAACGAAGTTTATAAAAAGTGACTTCATTTTTTCATCGGGTTCGGGTAGAGACTAAAGGTCTTGATCCATTGATCCGACAGAACCATCGTTAATTTCTTCACTTTAGTTTCAGTTCCAAATTCAAAATACCAACTATACCCACAAGAATGCTCTTAATTACATGATTTCTTCTTTATATAAATAGAATTCAAAATACCAACTATACCCACAAGAATGCTCTTAATTACATGATTTCTTCTTTATATAAATAGATATCAAATCGATCGAACAATCAGTTGTGACATTATTTTTATTACCATCATCGCCATCATTTTTATAATTATTTTTCTCGATTCGTCTCCCAACTAAGTTGTCAAATTGGTGGACCTCTTAGTATATCATTATAATTATTTTTCTCGATTCGTCTCCCAACTAAGTTGTCAAATTGGTGGACCTCTTAGTATATCATATCAATCAAATCCAACTTGGTTTTTCTTTTATTTACTTTTTCAGGTGGTCTTTAATAGCAGCACATATGCCAGGTCGAACAGACAATGAAATAAAAAACTACTGGAACTCTCATCTTAGTCGAAGAATCTACACTGTAACACGACCATCTGCTAAGTCTAAAAAACTACTGGAACTCTCATCTTAGTCGAAGAATCTACACTGTAACACGACCATCTGCTAAGTCTACTTCACCTATAACGGGCATCCTCGACATCTCTCCCACACCCAAACGAAGGAAAAACATGGCCGATCGAGCAAGTCGACAACAAACGAACGCAATCGAAGGGAAAACAATCCCTCCCCATATAGAGAACCGATCGAGCAAGTCGACAACAAACGAACGCAATCGAAGGGAAAACAATCCCTCCCCATATAGAGAAAGAGGAAAAAGAAGAAGGGTTGAGCTCAAAACATAGCAAAGAAGGAGAGGACTTGGGACCATATGATTGGCTAGATGGTGAAATAGAGAGACTCAATAATGATTTTGAATGGAATAAAAGCAATGAGAAAATGGCATTTGAAGATGATCTTCAAAATGGGGAGAGGTCTTCTTCTTCCTCCATGAACTCAGCTTTGGAAATGGATCAATGGCTCAACTTTGATTGGGAGCTTCACAAAATTTCTTCTTGGTTATGGGAAAGCGAGATTGATCGATGTATTTAGAGATAGGGTTTATTATCCTCGGAATTTCGAGAGTAATTATTAAAAAAGTACGAGTCTCGTAACGGTTTCAAAAAGAGAAGATCGAATTAAGAGAGATCAGGAGTTCTCGATATTTCATCGACCCAATACAATTCCGTGAGATCTTTCATTTCGTAGGTATATATTAGTGAAAAACGTCTTTATTATTACAAAGGAATGATATTTTGGATGATAACACAAATTCTTTCCAAAACCCTAAAAATTAAATAACTTTTCAGGGTGTTTGATGATATGAGTTGGGTCGAGTTTGGACATTTTAAAACCAAACTCAATTGTTCGGTGTAAATCTTTCAACTCAAACAACCCTTCTCAAATAATGAACCCAACCCAACTATAATTTTTTTAGGTTAGGTTGGTTCGATATTTTACAATATAATAAAAATAATTATGAAATTAAATTAAATATATGTATATATTTAAAAAACTAACCATAAATTCGAATATTCAATTTAAACCCATTTTATTTAATTTGAACTCAACCCAATTTAAATAATTTCATAATTCGCTTATTGAATTTTTTAAACGATCTTGATTACCGACAGAAACTAATGTATATACAAACATGTTACATATTACAATCAACAACATTAGAGAACTCAAAAAAAAAAAAAAAAAAAAAACAATTATTTATATGTTAAAAATTAGAATCAGAGGGTGAGGAGTTATCAGCTAAAGAAACTTTGCTGAGCCGGCTAGGCAGCAGCCGGACGCCATGGACGGGGGTTTTTCTTCTTCCTGTCCACCGCTTTTGAGCTCCATAAACTGCTCTATGAGCCAAAGCCTTCCCCACATTGGAGCTCGCGGCGGCGGCTTTTGAGCTCGGGTTCTTCTCTGGCCTTGTTGGTTGATTTCCGGTGGCGGCGGTGGCGGGCGTGGTGACGGCGGGATCAAAACCTCTCGAATCGGGTCGCTCGGAACTCATTAGTTTGAAATGAAGGGGATGAAGAACTGGTAGTTTGTAAAAATCCAATTTTTGTGGAATATATTTTGTTTTTGTTCTCTTCTTACAAGTTAAGGAACATGAGATTCCATAACATAAATCCCAAACCCAAACTTAATTCTATTTGTTTAATTTGGTTTGGAATATAATTTGATTGGTTTGGTGGAGTTGAAGAAGGTTGGAATTTTGTTTAGTGGGTCGTGTCCAATAAAAAAATTATTAAATTATACGTTCCGTCTTCAAAATTTTAAACTTACATAGATTAGTCGAGATCGTGTAGTCTATATAGTCTCAACCTTTCATATTTCTTTCTAATAAATCTTTACGTTAACCGATTAATACATTAATGCTTGAATAGTATATTAATTTCGTATTTTTTTTTATATAAATTATGCTACAAATTACTTTTAAGCAACGAAGAAGCCAATATAATTATTTATATATAGAGAAGTCCATTTAAGTAATAGAGTCGAGACTCACGAATTTGTCCAAACCAGACAAGAAATGAAAGAACAAGCAAAAATAGATTTTCCTTCGTTAACCAAACATGATTACACGCTGACAGACTATGTTGTAATAAGTTTTTTTGAATGTTAGGAAATATTATTGGATTTATTAATATGTTTTATATTTTTAATTATATTAAAAAATGGGAATAATTCATTCATTTATTTTTGTAATAAAATATTAAGAAATTTTTTTCACAATCCCAGTAAATTCTCTATCCGAAATTCATTAGTGAAAAAAAAAAAAAAATAAATGGATCATTATCGGTCTCGTGGACGTTAAAAATATGAACTTTTAGACACAAAAATGAAAGTTTATTATTGTATTAGACCCAACCCGTAACGTTGAAGTATTAAAGAAGGTCAACAAAGTTCGAGAAGCTTTGAATTAAAAAAAAAAAAAAAAAAAATCACCAA